TGTCTGTCCTATCGGGATGTTTCTTGATCCCCATCTCCACAATAAGCAGATTGGAACTTTCTATTTTGGACTCTCTGAAAAATGGATTACATATATGTTGAGCTATAAGGCAAGAGAACTATGGAATTGGGGCATGCAGATGATCTGGCTGTTACCCTAATGTGGTTGTTGGAATTAATAATCTAGACAAAAGACATTACAGAAGATACCATATGGAATATAAATATAAAGTCACTCGGTTTTTTTTTTTATATATACAGAAATACTTATTAATGATGGGGGCAGATGGTAATTGAAGATACTGAATATACTGTTGGAAGCAGGACTTGATGTTACCCTAACATGGTCGATGGAATTAACAATCTAGTTGAAAGACATTACAGAAGATACTATATGGAATACAAATTTAAAGTCATTTGAGGATTTTATTTATATATGGAAATATCTTTTAGTGATACGGGCAGAAGAATAAAGATATTAAATATATTATGTATGGTAGACCTGTAGGAAAGTGGGTGAAACAAAATTGATATGGTACAAGGTGATAGGTAACGTTACTGATTGCTTAGTTTAGGAAAAGGGATGTTATGTTTAGATATTAATATACTTAAAAGATTCGAATTAAGAGATATATGTATGGGGGTGGAGGAAATGGGTAGATTATGAGTAGAATAAATGCCAAATTAGGATTTATTATATAGTTTTATAGCCGAATGCTGTTTTGAATTGTATAGTATACGGGGGACATAATAATAATGTTATAAAGAAATGTTTAGCACATAGGGGGTGGTGTAAAAGGGTGGTAAAGTATTATATAATGTGATATTAATTTGGATTTCATCTTGCAGAAGCCATGGGGGGAGGGGAGGGGGAGGGGGGGTTAGGGAGGGGGGGGAAAGGGGAAAAATTTGTATTTGAAAAACTTTTTCAATTAAAAAAAAAAAAGAAATTATTGTTAAGGCAGGATTCTCTGTGATCAATATAGTTCATAACATGGCCAGTGAATTCATTCTTCCAGATTGAAATTCTTCTTATGTTAAGAACTCTGATACAATAAAAAAAACAAAAAAAAAAAACAGCAACAACATTCTTTGAAAGAATTCATACATATTCTTCTTTAAGTCGCCCAGAGTTACTGAGTTAGTCTTTTGGTACTGTATTGTTTAGAACAATGCTTTTTAAACTAGGAAAAGATGTATGGACCAATTCTCAGATTCCCCTAGCCATCTGGTTTAGTAGAAGAATTGTAATATAATTGGAACATATTTAATGATTTAACTTTATATTAAAAAGTTTATGGAAGCAAACATAAACATTTGGGTAAACACTCCTTAATTTGTGTGGTAGAGAAAATCACAAAATTACAATTTGCAACCTCTGTATCTGACAAATACCTTCTTGCAAAATTTGGCACAATGGATATGAATTTCTGAAGTTATTTCCAATCCTTTCTCTTTAGTTTTTTATTCTTGCAGAATAAAAACATACCTATGGGTTTTAACATGCTGGATCTTATAAAATAATCCATGACAAGTTTGTTTGGTTAATGCCTGCCAGGATAATGTGATACACAAAACTTTGAGGGATTGTTCATTAAGGTTATATTGCAAATAACATGCATTTACATCAATTATGTTATTACTCAAATAATTTAAAATTGTCTTTAAAAGATATCTGGATTTAATTTAACTCATTCTGGATCTCTGGGATAGCATAATGGTAGCCACTTTCAACCTCTGAATTGTTTTCTTCATGCTCTGCTTTGGTATATTTGAATTGAATAAAAGTTTAGTGTTTTTGGCAGTGCTGCAGGTCTGCCCAGATCTTAGATAAGATCTTCTAAAAGGCAACATTTTCTCTTATATCTTAATTGTCAAATATCTCTTCCTCTCCCCATTTTGTGCCTTATTGTAGAGGTATTGGAAAAATCTCTGGTTGCAAAGACATTGACAAGTTAGGCTTTTATCACTTTTTATCACTTTTATCCAGTTTCTAGAGCTATTAAATGCAGTATAGGAAAGATGGTTAACAGAGCCCACTCTTAAAAACTATTCGTAATGCTTCAAGTCGAGTACCAAACCTTGAATTGCACCTGGTAGCATACTTGTGGAACAATAGTATCAAACGTGCCAAATAACAGGTGCCAATAACTGCCTGTGTCACCACATTCTGTATCAGCTGAAGTTTCTAAATGCTTTTCAAGAGCAATCCCATGTAGAGCAGTGGTCCCCAAACCCCGGGCTGCAGCTCACTACTGGTCAGTGGCCTGTTCGGAACTGGGCCACAGAAGTGGCGGGCATGCTTGCACCAATGCATACAGTTTCACATGCGTGCATAGCAGGGAGGCGGGGGAGTGTGCGCAGCTGCATTTGTGTGAGTGGGGGGCATGCGTGTCTGCTGCTTTGTGCATGGACTTGCCCGTCACTCATACAGAATCATCCCCTCTCCTCCTGCTGGTCCGTAAAGCTAAAAATGTAGAGCATGCTGTAGTAGTCAAAAGGTATCTAGCAAATGAATAAGTATGAGCAGGACCTCTGGTCCAGGAACAGATGCAACCAAATGCACAACCAGAAGCTGTGCATCCAAGGATACCTCCAGATTGTACACTTTTTGTCAGATGCAAGCCCATTGGACAGCACTAGGAAATACTGACCTTAATTAGGAGCCTTACATTCTCATTAGATAAAAGTTAAGTTACCTTGATTTACCAAAAGGAAGAACTGTTGTACCTTTTAGCAATAGAAAACACTCCTGGCTACTGTACTTCATTTTATTAGCCTTTATCTTTCCTATAATATTCATTATGTAATAGTTCACACTGGATGAAGTTGTATTAATATTATGTTGGCCACTAAAATTGCATTTGAGAACTTATCTAGTAGCACACATCTGTTCTGTGAAACTGATGGGAATAAATTACCAGATAACAATAATTGGGTTGCAGCAGCATTTTCTGCTTACCGTTGCTCTTTGAGATAGAATAGCTCTTAAGTATGACTAGAGATAGAAATGGCAAATTCACGACAGGATTGAAAAATACCTTGCAGTTGTACTTATGGCAAATAGAATGAGTGAGCAAAGTAATATTGCTGCAAAATAAAAAAATTGGCTGCTTCAATACAAGCATAATATCCAATTCATGAGAAGTATGATTTGTGATGACTATATTCTACCTCAACATTGTGTCTACTTCTAAACATCACAAAAGTTTTTAGTCAATAGATTAAGAGCTGGAATAGATTAAGAGATAGGCAATAAGTGGGTCTGAAAACCAGGTTCCATGAAAAGAAATGGGAGAAATTAGAAATGTTTAGTCTTAATAGATAAAGCACTTTTCAAGTTTATGATTGGCTACAGAAGAATGTCAGACCTGTTTTTATTTTCCAAAACAGAGATGATCAATAATGGATTTATTCTATTAGAAGGTAGGTTATGATAGAACATTTGAAAACTTTTTCTTTATATTAGGAGCAATCTGATAATGGAATTACCCAGAGAACTGGCAGACTTCTCTTTACTGGATGCATTCAAACAGAAGCCATCAGTCATTAGTTAAGGCACTATTTAATTTGGGTGCTCGCACTGGACAAAAGAACAAACCCTATGACTACACGGCTTCTTCAGGTTTAAGATTCTAAGTCTACGAAGATGAGGCCTTAGTGATCAGAATAGGTATCCAGTGTGTAATGCTACATACCGGTACTTTTATTTTTCTAAAGCTTTAGTATTTAAAAACTGGAATAATTCTTATCTAGCTTGTTTAGAATTTACACTTTCTCTCTTTCATTACCTGGTCCTTGTTATTGGCTATTAAAGATTCTGATAAGCCATGTGTTCACAATAATTTGCTGCTTAAATTTTTATAATAAAAACATACTTTGTATTTCCCCAGATCCAAAGCACGATATTTCCCTTTCCCTGTACAATCCTAAACCTTGGTGGAGGTTCTCTTTGCAGACTTCTCAAGATTTTTCTTCGTCAAGCTTTGTGCCGATGTGCTGAATAGCACAAAGCACAAATCAGCACAAAGCTTTGTGCTTTGTGCTGATTTGTTGGTCAGGTGCATCTTTTATTGGACTCTGGACAAGTGCTTGGTTCTGTGTGGCTGTCAAAGATGGCACACTAGGAGTGGGCCCAAACTTTGGGATGGAACTTTTAGGAGTAAGATGGGTGCTTTATGCATCTGCAGTACTTCATTCCGACTCTTTAAAAAGTATTGTCTTTTTATATGCAAACTAACTTGGAATTCATATGTGCTGAGAGGTCCACAGGTCCTCTCAATAAATATAATAAAAAGGACAGCACAGGACTTAATGTAAGAGAGAGAGCAGATCAGATGTTCTGTATGCATCCCCTCCTGCATCTTGGAGCACTTTGCATTGAATGGATAGGTGTAGTAGTAGGTGTAACCCGGAAGAACCACGCCGCCTGTAAAACTGAACTCTTTATTAATAAAGCCCGTTTAACGAAAAACTCATACGACGACACAGAGTAAAAAGAGGGCTGGTTACAAAATAGGTTTTTTTAAAAAATACTCCCAACTTGAAAACTGCCCTGCTCCTTAAAATATTGAAGCCTGAGGCTGCAGCCCACACTCACCTCCAGGGAGCGGTTCAATTTAAACGGGCCTACTTCCAAGCTGAGGTAGAAATGCGTGGCAACGTTCTACTCGGGAAGCGACATGGAGTCGCCGTTTGCCCTTCGGTTTTTCCTTCTGCCTCCCCGCCCCCTCGGCTTTCCCTACTCCACTGGCAGTTCCGACGCGAGGCGACGCTCGCTACCCGAAACCAGGCCGGCCACCGCCGCAAGATCTCCGGGGCTGCACCGCATTGGCGGCGAGCGCGCTGCCGCAGCCCAAAGAGCAGGAAGTTCCCGTGGCCCACCGAGCCAGGGCAGGCTGTCGTCACGTGACGCAGCGCGTGGAGCCGCGCAAGCCGCTCCGCACCGCTCGACTTCGAGCATCGGCGCCCGCCGCGGAAGAGGCAAGCGGGGTGGCCGCCGCTGTTGTTATGCCCGCGCCACGGTGGACGGTGGCCTCTCCTCCTCCCCGGCTCGGCGGCCACGGCGGCTCCCGCGGGTGACTTCCTCGCCATCCGTTCCATGCAGCCCCTCCACGACGGAAGCGTTTCTGCTCCAGGGACGACGGTAGCAGCGTGAGACCTGCCTTGCCGTCGCCTTGCGCGCCTGCCCGCTTTGGATGGTGCTTCTCCTGGCCCCGTGGGTGCCGCGGCGGCGGGACTAATATGCTCACTCGGATGAGGTCTGCCATGGCCAATTTGGTGGGAGGCATCATGTCTGGCAGTTCGGGCTCGGAGCCCGGCGGGGGCTTGGATTTGCCTCCCCGCTTTCCTTACGGCAGACCCGAGTTCCTGGGGCTCTCTCAGGACGAGGTCGAGTGCTCCGCTGATCACATCGCCCGACCCATCCTCATTCTCAACAAGGAGACCAAGCGCTTGCCCTGGACCACGGGATACGCCGAGTGAGTAGCCGCTGGGGGTGGGCCGGGCCGGGTGGGGGTGTCTGAAGGCAGAGACGCTCCCCTGGGCCCTCGGTTTGCCACAGTAGGGCTTAAGGGAGGCGCCCCGTGCATGTCGTCTTCCGGGCAGCGAGGACGCTGCAGCAGCAGAAGGGGGAAAAGGCGACGGCCCGGTCACCGGCTTGGTGGGAAGAGGGCTGGAAGCAAAGGGGGGCGGGGCGCTACTTTTCTGAACTAAAGGCAATGCTTAACTTTTCAAATCAGAAGCGCTCAGAGCGGCTTGGAAAAAGAATCTTGCAAAAGATCTAGGAAAAACCTGCGTAATATACCAAGCCCATTTACTAAATATCAGGTTCAGTTGAAATTTCCTTCCCCAACAAGTCATGGAGTAGCTATTGTATCTTTGTTTATTTCTCCTTCAGTCAGTGTGAAGCATAGCTGGTACATCAATCACTGCAGTGCTCTCCTGGCTTTGATTCATCCTTTTGAAGCAAGCCCCTTTACCTGTGTGTAGTCTTGCAACCTTGATATTCAGTTCTGTATCTATTCTTGCATGGAAGCAAGCCTCATTCTTACATTCTTAAGAAGCATATGTAATACATTAAAATGCTTACTTTTGGCATGTGGTGGGTAGTTGTTTTTGCACATATGTGCCAAGCAAATGTACAACTTATTATAGTAATATTACTGGAACCCTTAAAGAGGGAAAATACAATTAGGGGAAAAGTGAACCAAAAACAAAAAATCTTACCATTAGACGGTTCATTTTTATAAAACTACATCATAGAGCAGTGCCCACTGTTTTGCCTTTGCTTTTGTAGAATAGCATTTAGTCCAGCAGTTGGTGTATGTGCAAGCTTCTGAATTGTTATGGGTGGATAAGATGTTCTGAGTATTGTGTGTTTGTAGGATGATTTAATATAGCTTTGTTTTCTGTTTCAATAATAGCAAAATGGTATTTAGTTAAAACAAGCCTCCAATCCCCTTTTCATGCCTGTGCTGCAATGATGATGTGTTTGCCATTGATCCTTTTCATTCTCAAAATTTTCCATCTTCCCTCACACAATCCCTTGTCACTGTGGAAGGTGTCCTCCAAAGGTGGAATGAAGGAGACTACAGTCCTTTGCTGGTTTTCCTTTTCCCCATTCTTCACCTTTCTACTACATGTCTTTTAAAATTATGACTTCAATTGATTATAACCTTTCCTTAAAATTAAAGTTCTAAGTTATTGCAATTGTTTTAATATGATGAGAATGAGATGCAGCTTTTCAACTGGTAGCAAATGCCTTGAAAGTCTACTGGTTTCATTTCTGGGGCTTTAGAGATTTCTGAAAGTTCAGTCAAGAAAAGACACAAGGAAGAGGCAGATAGTTTCGAATTTCATGGTTACCAAATCTGATCCATTTGATGCGCTGTATGTGCATGGTGTCTTTTGTTGAAAATTTGGAGTGCTAAATTAGTAGAAAAGATCATACTTTCTCAGTGGCTAATATAAGAGTAACATACGTAATTTGTAATAAAATATAGTAATCAATTTTTCTCGGACTATAATAGTGCAGAATGAAAAGTTCAGGAAATTTTCAAGCACATTCTTTTAAACACGATTTCTTACATTGTAATGTTGATATAGTTTTAGAGGCTTACCTTCAAAGATCACCAATGAATGAGTAACTTGAGGCAGAGGGCTCCCTCTTATCACAGATAAAGCTGTTCAAGATGTTTGACAAAGAAAAAAAGTACAGGCAGATGTGAGGGCATTTTTATGAGGGAATCTAACTGTTCATTCAGTGGAAAAATTCCTTCATCCATATCCTTGACATATATGCAAGGAATGGCTCTATTTGACCCAGTTAGTGATAGCTCTTGAAATTGTATTAATATGGATATTGGTGTTCTGAGCGATTTCTTCAGGTATTTGCCTAAACAATTAGAGCTAAGGAATAGGCATACTAATTTTGCTCCTTTACTCTTTCTTTCTTGCATATTCAGGCATCTGAAAGAGTTCTGTACTTGTTGACTGCTTGAAGACAGAACTCATTATAATTCTGTTTATTATTGTGCAGATTTATGTTCAGTGAGTGTTCCTTTTGAACTTATTTCTTTGCATATTATAATAGATTCTGCAACAGAAATGTGTAAAATGGAAACATTTCCTCTACATATACTCAAAAGTAAGCACAGAATTCTGAACAAATACATACGTAATAGGCTAACTCTATATCCAGAGAACCATTGTTCAGAAAACCTAATGCACGTACTCACCATGTTTCTATGAGTGAAAAGCCACATTCATTATTGTCATCAAATGCATCCATTTTGTCTATTACTGCTTTATTGTTGCTCCTCACAGCACATAGTTCCAGCTTTTAAGAGAGATGATTTTCTACTGTATTGTATCCTCTGTATTACTGTCAAACTTCCATTTTTAATAGCTCTTATAATTTGAGGGCTATTAATAGTTCTCTATATCTATTTTATGCAGTCTCCAGCTCAGCAATTATAGCAAATGGATGTTCTGTTCTTTCTTCATCTTAAAGTGAATTCTTTAAAAATTGGCAACATTTATTTTGATTACACAGCTGTTTGATAAAATTGCCCAAAGATTTCTATTTTTTTTATTTTGTGCGTTCCACTGTAATTTTCTGGCATTTTCGGTCTATTCACATTTATTGTCCACAGAACACAAAAATGTTTAATTCTGCTTTTATTATTTTTACAAATAACTCAAAGGGGTGAATATATCCAACACATCTTCCTATTTTCTCTGCAACAACTACTTGTGAGGTGGGTTGGGCTGAGAGAGTGACTGGCCCAAAGTCACCCACCAAAGGTATACATGAAATGAAAATATATATCTCTTTAGAGTCTGCACTACTTGTATGGTATGTACAAGATAAGCTGCCAGTTCTGTAACAGATGAGTATTGTTACAGGAAAAAAAGTCAATTGCTTTCATTCAGAGACATAACATTTTAAAGCTACATTTCATCATGATGTCAATATAAATATTGAATTTCTCATTAATATTTTTGTGGAAGCACAACCCCTATTTTATTTATTGCCTCCTCAGGTATAAATTTCATTCGGTATTAGTAGATTCATACTATTAATGTCATCCTTCTCTTACAATCAGAAGAATTTAGAACAGTGGTTCTCAACCTTCCTAATGCCGCGACCCTTTAATACAGTTCCTCATGTTGTGGTGACCCCCAACCAGGGGTGGGTTCTAAATTTTTTTACTACCGGTTCTGTGGGTGTGGCTGATTTTGTAGGCGTGGTTTGGAGGTCATGTGACTGGGTGGGCGTGGCTAGCTGGTCAAGTGACCGGGTGGCCATGGCTATGTGTATAGGGACTACTCAGAGGGCTGAAAAAAGTCATTTCTCACAGGTTCTCGTACTTTTGACTGGTCCTCACACTTATGACCATCCTCACATTTATGCCTGTGCAGCATTCTTAACAACCATGTCACTCATTTCACAACTGCTTCTTTTCACCATGGTAATAAGATAGGGCAAAAACGTAAAATGTGAGGACAGTCGTAAGTTCGAGGACTGGCCAAAAGTGCGAGGACCAGTCAAAAATAACTTTTTCAGCCCTCTGAGTAGTCCATATGCACAAAAGGACTACCCAGAGGGCTGAAAAAAGTGATTTCTGACAGGTCCTCACACTTTTGACCGGTCTTCGCACTTATGACTGGTCATCATTTATGCCATTGTAGCATTCTTAACAACCATGTCACTCATTTCACAACTGCTTCTCTTCGCCATGGTGACAAGATAGGGCAAAAATGTAAAATGTGAGGACAGTCGTAAGTTCGAGGACTGGTCAAAAGTGTGAGGACCAGTCAGAAATAACTTTTTCAGCCCTCTGAGTAGTCCATATGCATAAAAGGATACAGCAATAGAGAGGGATGAAGGAAGGGAAGGGAAATTAGAGTAGGAGTGAGGGTAAGAGAGGAAGGAAGAGAGGAAGAGAAGGAGAAAGGAAGAGGAAGTAGGGAGGAGAAGAAGAGGGGGAGGAAGAGAAAGTAAGAAGGAAAGAAAAGAGAGAGGTGGTAGGTTTGAGGAGAAAGATTGCTGTACAATAAAAAAGATGAAAGGGAAGAAAGCCAACCCCAAACAAATATAAAGATACTAAGATAAAGAATGAATTGTTAAACTTTAAAGAATAAAAGAGAACAAATATGAATAAATAACAATAATTAGAAACACACATACAAACATACAATGTATTTTCTTTGAACAGAGTATTTGGCCGGTTCACAAATTTAAACAGTGTTTAGTCATTTCAATTAAATTTACAATTTCTATATTTCCTTTTTGCCATATTTATTCCTCATCTATTTTTGTAAAAAACCAATATTACCCTTCATCCTCATCTCTAATCTTAATCAAATTCAATTTTTCCCTTCTATTCTATATTATACCCCTTCCCATTGTCATCTATTTTTATATCCATCCTCACATTGGTTAATTATGTAATATTACAGTTGTTTAATATAAATTCAACATTTTAATATAAATCAGTTATATAACTACCTTTTTTGTATATTAATCAATACGAACATGAATATTCCAATTATTTCCATGCAATCCAATTTCTTACAAATCAATTAATTATATTTACCAATAATAATAAACCAAATAATTTCCCCCATATATTCCTCCAAACCACAACTTAACCATTTCTGCTTTCAGAAATATACAATTAATAGTATCTCAATTATTACAATTCCCTAGTTAAATAGAGCTTTTTTTCTTTTGTGTTTTAAAATCTTGAACTGTCCTCTTTTTCCCTAAATTTCCCATTGTTTGCACCTACCTTTTTTGGTGAGGAAAAAGAAAAGAAATCTGCCTGCCTTAATTTTCCAACGTTGCAGCAACAGCAAAGCAGTTTCAGTTTCGTTTTTCAGCATAGCTAGGGGAAAAAAAATCTGCTCCAGCAAGCAGCAAACCCTGAGCAAAACAGCTGAGAGCAAATCAGCTGAGGGTCGGGAGCCGATC